CCGGAGTGCAGTATAATGTGGTTATCTGATAAGGACATGATATAAATCATCTGTCCAACAACTGCAGACAGATATCCACATTATACAATTCCTATATAAACAGAAGGAAATCACTGATAGGGAAAAATTTCCCGTCAGGTGCTTTCCATGTTCTGCTCATCAACCGCGAATCGCAGGCAATGGGCAGACATTTCTCACCGCAATCGCAACGCGCAGCATGCATTCAGCTCCCGCGGGAGCTAAACACTCTACGCTCCAACCACTAGATTACCTCGGAAATCAAGCGCGAACGAAAACTGCTGCCGCGAATGTATCGCTATTCCCGCGAGAGGCGAACGCACTCATGTAAACGCTATCTACAAACTCGGGTAAATGGTGAAGTACTCACATCCCCCTCAGTAGTCCCGCAAATGCATCACGATGAGCACAAGCCGTCTCCTCGTAAGACGAGCGTGTTCAAGTCATGCTTATCCCTCACAAGAAATAAGCAATGAATGCAGAGCGCATCCAACTCCCTCGAGAGCTGAACGCGCTTGCTCTTCACCACACACACACAGCACGCAAGCCGTGTGAAACTGCAGGTATCAGAGCAAAGCCTCTGGCGAGAGAACATGCACTCCTAGTCGTGTTTAGCTTAACGCTAACATAAACAAATGGTCAGTGAAGACGAAGAAGAGGATGTGTTATCCCAGCGCCCTTTTATACTGTGATAGAGCAGGGTAATGATGTCATAGGCTGTCGCCGTCCAATTTTATTGTAGTTTTTAGATGTATGCTTCAGACACCGGTCACGCTGAAGGCGTTCCCCATAGCGACCTCTAGAGGACGCAGTTCGAAGTTCCCTCGAAAGGGAACCATACAGTGAGTGAATAAGAAATCTCAGAAACATTTCCTTGAGCAAGTTATTTGTAAAGGTCCTTTGAGGACTGCACTGAAACTTCTTAGGTAAATGTACTATTTGTTCTAGTTTCTGTTAAAGCTGAATCACTGTTTATTGGACAGTTGGCCATATGATTTCAAGTGAATTTTTTCTCTTGACTTCTGTTTGTGTGGTTATACAGCAGACTTGGTAACATGACAGAGAATCTTACCCTCATGGCTTCCTGGATGTGGTCCTGTCTAACAACTTCTGCTGATCGGTCCATATACCACTTCAGACAGCGAATCAACTCTCTGAATTTGAAATTGAACATCTAGTTATACCATATTCAGATTATATATATATATATATATATATATATGTATGTGTATATCTTCATTTTCATTTATTCTTTACTAAGATTAGTTTGCTTGCTCAAACTACACATTGAAAAAATGGTGTAAAAACAATTTTCACTCAAAAATTACTAGTAAATTTCACAATTACAAAGATTAATTACAAAGAAAGTAACATACTACGACTGAAATTGTATTTTCTTGTAAAAGGTACTCTAGTAATCTTTGGTTTATTTACAACTTCGAAAAATCATATCTTGCAGTTTATCTTGACAAAAATATCCTGTGAAAATACATGGACTTACTTATAAGCCAGTGCTCCAGCAAAATGCTTCTGGATGTATGTATCCATCACAGGCCGGAAGTGATAAAACTTACTGTCCCGGAGCAGATTGATGATGAACACCTGGACAGAGATGGAAAGCAGAGGTCAAGAGGTTCCTGATCAGCTCTGACTGATGTTGAAAATATCAGTATGCATCAGTGTTAAAATTAATTTGAACTTTTAAAATTAATTAAATCATTAATTTATTTTAAAATATATCTTTTTTTTTTTTTTTTCACTTTTAGTTATTTTAGTACATCGAGTTAAAGGAATAGTTCACCCAAAAATAAAAATCTGCTGAAATGAAGATGTAGATGAGTTTGTTTGTTTATAAGAACAGATTTGTAGAAATGTAGCATTACATCACTCGCTCACCAATGGATCCTCTTATTGCAAAATGAATATCAGTGCAAGAAGAATGCATCAGTGTAGGCTCTCTATTCTCCACACAGAAACATGACAGATGTATTCAGGCCAAGAGAGGCTAGAACATCTTGACATTTTTCACAGGAGTACAAGAAGGCTCTCTGGAGACGCCACTATCAACCAGCTGTGAACGCCTAATAATATCTGGATCCACGCCAGCTGATATCTTCCATTTTTCAGAACAGACACACACACACATAACATGGGCACTCATGAAAGAGATGAATCGAGTGCATTAAAGGGTGTTCACACACGCAAACACACAGTACATGTGGGTCTGAGTCTTTTGATGAATGGAAACCGGACACGTTATTACAGCGGTGAATTATTAATGTTAGTTAAGCTATGGCGTAGTCCTAGAAATGCCATTTGTTAAAGTTTCTAACCAGTGACTGAAACACCAGGGGTCCATATTTGTCTGTGTTGTCATCCAGAATGGAGAACAGCGTGTCGAGGATGTCTTGAAGAAACTGGAGAGGAAAACAAAATGGATGTAAATTACATTAAGCGGACATTAAAATCTCTTATTTTTAAAGACAAAAAAACAAGCCAGAGCTCTCACTTTGACTATTTCTTCCCCACAGACGTGCCGCAATCGCCCTAAAATGTCCATTACACGGTCTGGATGTGCTTTCCACTTCAACAAAGCTAGCAGATCGACTTCACAACACAAACACAACAAGAAAATGTCATTATACTCTGAGAAGTAGATGCAACAACTGATGAATGAAGGAAAAATTGTCAGTAAGTGTTAGTAAATTACCATTCTGAGTCAGTTTGGTGGAAGAGAGCTGAGTGGCTATCCAGAGGGTTTCCTTAGTGCTGCGCTGGAAGATGAGGCTGGACGGGATGTTCGGGCAGCCGTTGAAGTCGTCTTTACAGCAGGGCAGCCCCAGGTACAGCGCGTGGTTACTGAAGGTGGTGTTTTCATCACACTGATCCACATTCACAAGAGAGTTTAACAGGGTTATTATCGTTAACTAAAACTGAAAACATACAAAATGCAACTTGAAAATAAATGAAATAAACTGAAATAAAACAGTGTAAGTATATATATATAAAAAAAGTCAGCTAGTTGTTAGTTTCTCATTTTAATTTAGTTTAACTTGAGGTACTAAACTAACTAAAACTAAAGCTGAAATAAAAATGATTTTTTTTATTGACAAATATAGACATTAAAAACGGTAATAAAAATCACAAAAACACTAGTAAATTACAAAAAAAAACTAAAATGAAATATTAAATGTAAAAATAAAAACTAATTTAATATATCTATATACATCTATATCTATATTTATATCTATATGTATATCTATCTATCTATCTATAATCTGAATGTCTATCTATATACCATCTGAATGTCTATCTATCTATCTATCTATAATCTGAATGTCTATCTATCTATCTATCTATCTATCTATCTATCTATCTATCTTTCTATCTATCTATCTATCGTCTGTCTGTCTGTCTGTCTGTCTGTCTGTCTGTCTATCTATCTATCTATCTATCTATCTATCTATATACATGTTTTAACTCTTGGCAAGTGGATAAAAAAAACAGTTTTTATTTTTAATCCAACTTAAAATTTTCTTTTAAAAATTCTATATTAATTTATTATTTTAATATTATGTATAACTACATGTTTATTAAGTAACTAAATAAACAACTTTTTGTTTATTTATTTATTTTTATTTTTTAAAATCTACTAAATGCATAAAAAAACTGTGGAATATCAAGTCTGCCACGGATATTGATGCTTGCATTCTTTTTTTATGGTAAACACATAATTTCTGATGTGTTTCACATAATGTAATGTCTGCTTCACCTTGTAGATGTAAAGCTCATGGCTCTCGTCTGACAGTGTGGTGCCGTCTTCCCTCATGAGTGGAGTGAAAGCAAAGCCAAAAAGCTTCTTTTCTCCTTTGTCCTTTGCTGTAAAAACAAACAAACAAACAAAAAAGTTTAAATATTCAAGTTTAAATATTCCAAAGTGCTTGTCAAGTTTCAAGTGCCAGTAATTTAAATAAATTAAAATGTTAATAAAAATCATATCACTTCATGAAACAAGTGTAAAAAAAACACAAAAAGCTTTATTTTTGAGTATGTTGAGAAGTGCATGCATCATATAAAACCCAACAAAACATTATCTCATCCATTTCAAAAAGTTTTTTTTTTTTTTTGTAGGCACAATTTATCTTTATATCAGTTGATTAATTTCAATTGGTAAGTGTAAGCCTTCAGATCAAAATGCCAGGAGAAAAATCTATTCAGTAAAATGTGCGCAACATTATACCAGTACTGTGCAAAGTCCTTACTTGAGCAGTGTCTGAACTCAAAGCGCAGATGGGAGCCGCGGAAGCGCTCGATGGGGATGGGCAGTTTGATGACCTCACTCCAGCGCGGACTGTTGTTGTGGTAGAGGACGAAAGAGCGGTACTCGCTGATGTTGTGCTCTCCTGAGCCCAGACTAATGCACTCCTGATAAAACATAGAAGAAATTGGCTTTATAGTGTCAAAAGTTTGCGACACCAACATTAATGATGAGCTTATGAAACTCATTTACTCCTCCAAACTGACTTCAATTTTGTTTGGACTAAATGATTCACCACATGAGCTACAGATCACTGATATGTCTTTCAAAGGGATAGTTTATTCAAAAATGAGAATTCTGTCATTCCACACCCCTACTGTTTGCTTCTAAATGTTAATCCATGCGTTTATGACCTCAAGGTTAGATTATTGTAATGCTTTATTGGGTGGTTGTTCTGCACGCTTAATAAACAAACTCCAGCTGGTCCAAAATGCAGCAGCTAGAGTTGCAGCACAATTCCTTAAAGTTTCTCCTTTTATACCAGGTTTGAAAAAACACGAGGGTGAGTAAATGATGACAGAATTTTTATTATTGGCAACTCCTTTATTAGAGTAGTCTGACGTACTTTGAGGATCTCGCCGTCAGCGTAGAGCACATACATGGTGACCTCGATGTTCTTCTGAACGCTCTTGCCTCCTCTCTCAAAGTCTCCTCTCTCCAGCGTGAGGTAGAGGTCGTTGCGTATGTCGCCTGAAGATAGAAAAACACACACATTAGCCGGGTTTCCATCCAAAGTTGCGAATTTAACTTATGCGCAAAATTGGAATATCGCATAAAACATTTGCGAACAAGCACTGTTTCCATCCAACGAGTCAAAGAGAACAAAATCGACACTTCCTGATAAACTGGCACTAACTATCACTAAGAAAAGTAAGAGAAGCCACTGAATATAATAATTCTCAAATATAATAAATTACTTTACAAACAATTGTCCCACAAAACAATAAATGCGGTCTTGCTTCGGAGGTGAATGTCAGCTGTTTGGGAACGCAGTCGTGGTAGACCGTTCTGGGAGGCAGTTATACAGAAATACTTGAGAACAAAATCGACACTTCCTGATAAACTGGCACTAACTATCACTAAGAAAAGTAAGAGAAGCCACTGAATATAATAATTCTCAAATATAATAAATTACTTGCGCTTTGAGTGAGCAGACGAAACACAATAAATGCGGTCTTGCTTTCGGAGGTGAATGTCAGCTGTTTAGGAACGCAGTCAGACCGTTCTGGGAGGCAGTTATATAGAAATACTTTGACGACAGACTTTGCTCGGGCACTTCAGAATGACCATGACATTTCAGATGCTGTGCAACAAAATCGGTCCGCTGGTTAGTCAGGTTATGCTGTCCCATAGCGCAAAGTCACATGACTTTTTTGAACGCTCATGCGGGATTTATTCGCAAAATGCGTTTCCATCTCCCATTATTCACATTAAGCATTTTTCGCATAAATAAAAAACTACCTCAAGCAAGCGTAAAAACTTTTTTGCGAATTAAGGGATTTCTTTTCGAAATTTGGCGTTTCCATCACTCGTTTCTCATGCGATACTTCAAAATGTGCAGTAAAACAGGGTGATGGAAACATAGCTATTGTTTGGTAATATGAGTATTTTTCATTTTGGCTTAATAAAACTGCACTTGTTATAAATACGTTGTCATTTTGTTACTTATATTTTCATTTTGAAGAATTATTGCAAGGAAAACTCAACATTCAGTACATGTGTTGCCACATGGGGTTTAAAAAAGTTCATACATCTTATACAAAAATCTGATGAAAAAATAAAAAGTTAGAGATGCATAAAGATTTTTTTTTTCCCATTAGTATTTCCTGTGTTTGGATTGTAAATGTAACTTTTTACACTGTTTTTCAGAATATCATTGTTTTGTAACTTTTGTTCTCTCTCTCTTCTCTTGGTGAAACTGCACCTGTCACAAAAACATTGTGTTCTGTGTTTTCTCTTATATGTTCACTTTGGAGGGTTCATGGGTAACCCTTTATTTCGATAGTCCACTTTAGACATTCTATTAACAGTAAGTAACTTTGCAACTACATGTCAACTAGCAGTTAGTAGAGTATTAGTAGACTGTCTGCTTAATATCTTCTAACACTTTCTTTGTCAACATTCTAACCCAAAACCTACCCTGTCTACTCTGAGAGTTAGTAGACATGTAGTTGCAAATTAATGAGAATTAGTTGACGTGTAGTTGACATGTCGTTACAAAGTTACTTATAGTTAATAGAACGTCTAAAGTGGACTATCGAAATAAAGTGTAACCGGTTCATGTGAGTAAACCTAAAAAGTTCAGAGATCCTAGACCAAAAAAAAAAAAATAATAATAATAATAAAATAAAAAAAATAAAAGTAACAAACTTTATAGAATTAATTATAGAAATGTTTTCCAGTAAGTTTTTGTGTTTGGATTGTAAACATCACTTTTACAGACTTTTTCCTTTTTCTGAATACCACTGTTAGGTAGTTTTTTTATTTTTATTTTTTTTTGCTTGATGAAGCTGTACCTGTCAAAAAAAATGTGATTTTGTTCATTAAACTTTCATTTTAGAGGGGTAATGTGAGGAAAATTCAATATACATGTGTCACCACATGGAGTTAGACAAAGATCTAATGAAATAATGAAAAAAAAAATGACAATGAATAATAAAAAAATTTAATAAATAATAGAGATGGACAAAGTTTTTTTTGTGTGTGTTCAAAATGTCACTTTTTCAGAATATCATTGTTCAGTAAGAATTGTTTGTCTTTTTTTTTGCTTGGTGAAACTGTACCTGTCAGAAAATCGTTTTGATTTTGTTCCTTCTATTTTCATTTTGGAGAATAAATGCGGGGAAAACTCTACATAAATGTGTCACCACATATAGTTTAAAAAAAGGCTCAGACATCTTTGCCTAAAATCTGATGATAATCTTGCCACTTGGAGAGAGTGAATTTTGGACCCTGACTTCAGATACAAACACAGTTATTGGGAAAGAACCAAAATACATCAGTCTACTCTGTCTAACCCATAAAAGCTGGAGAGATAAAAAAATATATATATTTTAGCATGCTCCTATACCTAAGTGTTTTTTATTCAAGCTTAAGAGAAAATGTAATGGTCACACTTTATTTTAAGGTCCAATTCACGCTATTAACAAATCATTAACTACGACTTTTGCCTCAATACACTCCTAATTTTCTGCTTATTAATAATTAGTAAGGTAATTGTTAAGTTTATAGGTATTAGGGATGTAGAATATGGTCATGCAGACCATGTATGGTTACCCATGATGCCCCCGGCACACTTAATTCAGCTTCACTTTTAAACTCTTTTACAGTCTGTCATAAAAGCTATTGCTACATAAAGGTCAAATCGTTTGTCCGGCTAAACCGTAGTGTGACGATGTCATCACAAAAATAAATAAATTAGCATCTATTCAATTCTTTTGAATCCATTACTCATTCAATATTAGAAATATCTTTCATCATCAGTAATATGTTAACAGTGAGTATTAATCATCATCCCTTGCTTTGGTCGTATAGATGATTGTGATGATCCTCTGATTTTTTTGGAGAAATGTTATGATTTCATGGCTCTCCATCCACTCTTAGATGACCAAGAGCAGGAAACGTTACAGTAGGAGCGAAAGGCTGTAATAAATCTCATCAAACTTGAGTTCAAGCTGTCTTTACACTGTGACTCCACATGTGACCTTGGTTTTCAGATGACTCTTTCATTATCAACCTCATTCAGTCCATGACCCAGCAGCCCACATTCTCTCCGCCGAGCGGCAAGCATCTGAATCATAACTCTCAAAATAAACACAGACTCTCTCTGGAATAGCGCTTAGCTTTTACTCGTCTACTCAGGGGAACAAAGTTTTAGCTGGTAGTCAAAGAAGTTGTGGACTTAATTTGATTTCTTACAATTACAGCTGATGCAATAAAAGAAAATGCGTGGCTCTGCTAGAAACCATTCCTCCTGCAGACAGTTATGAGCACAGAGATGTACATTTCGGCATACACCTTAAAGGGGTCATATGATGTTGCTAAAAAGAACATTATTTTGTGTATTTGGTGTAATGAAATGTGCGAAGCACACAGCATCTTTACGACATGGCGGCGGGAACAACAAAACTACAGCGAGAATAAAGGTTACGCCTTCTTTCTTTGCGTGAATATGTGTTATGCGTTATGCAAATCTTCCCACATCGTGACGTAGATATGTGGGGGCGTGTTAGAACGAGCCGTTTTAGGTAGGCGTGGCTGACTCTTAACTTTTATAAAGAATAGCTCTTTGGATTTGAGACTTTAGTCTTTGCAACTTTACAGATCTTCTTTATGCACCAAGAGCTTGTAACACTCCAAAGAGAAAGGAAAAATTGAAATCGCATCATATGACCCCTTTAAAGAAAAGCTTCAGTTTGCTCTGATGCCACCTGATATCTCTTGAATGGCTTTACTGGGGGTGGATATACTGAGGGAGAATGATATAAACCACCTTACGCAATAATGTGCTCGCTTCATTGTGTGTGTAATGTGCATAATGAAATAGTTTCCTTGACGTTTGCTTACAAATTGAAAATGACTTGTACATTTTGAGTAACAAAGAACAACACTGACCGTCTGAGGACCTTTGCAAACATTATGAATCCCCATTATACAGTATGTATGAACTGATATTACAAAGTAGCACACATAAAAGTCTGCTCATTATAACACTTCTAAAGGTACCCTAACAGAAGCGAAAAACTAAAACCTTCAAAAAAAAGTTTATATATATATGTTAATATGGGTTGGCTAAATGAAAGAAAAAGTGTGTTACAAAAAGACTGTTGTACTGTCATATTTTACAAGTTGTATTTACAAGTTGTTGTTTTTTTGTATTTTTTTTAATTATGTGCACTGATAAATCATGCATAAAAAAGACCAAAAACATGCATTAAGAATGCAAATAAATTTGGTCAATTTAGATTTTATGTTGACCTTTCCAAACATACATTTAGATAAAAAAATTCAAACTTAAATTCCACAGTTTTATAAATTGTTGTTGCTTATTTGTTCTGTTACACAGCATTATTAAAAAGGGTTATTATAGTTAACTAAAAACTGAAACTAATATAATATATTAGTTTCAGTATAATATAGTATTATAGTATAATATATTAAAGTATAATATATTTAGTTTATAATATAATATAAACTAAATAATAATAATAATTATTATTATTATTATTATTATAGTAATAAAAATACTTCTGTTATTTAAAATGAAATAAATGTGTTTCAGCTAGTTACCAACATTTCTTCAAATAATAAATATATAATAAAAATAATATAAAAAACTAGAACAAAAATATAAAAATAAATAAATAAATAGTATATAAACGACTAAAAATGACAAAACCACAATACATTACTTTGACTGAAACGAAATTGTAAATGAAAAATATAAAAATATATGTTTTTAAATATTCATAAAAACTATAATAGCATATCAGTGATAATAAAATAACACAGTTACACAATACCTGCATAAAATTTCATTTTGACAACTGTATTTTTTTTAAAGCAAATGTCTATGACATTTGACAAAATTGGAAAAAAAATTTAGAAGAAAAAAACTATAGAAACTTTTTTAAAAATCTTTGAACATGCTCTGGAGTCATTATAAAATAAAAGCTGTTAAAGTTTGATTTTAAAGTTTAATGTTTTATGTTCTATATTTTTTTGTTAGTAAAGGATTCTTATAACCCCATAATTCGTAGTGTTTAAAATTAAATGTTTAAAATGATTTAGCAACTATGTTAAATGGTTATAATTACTAAATATCTTTTCAATAAATAATACTAGTTTCGTTACAGGAATCCATATTGACAATATTGGCCTTGATGGTACTTAATATCACATCGAAAAGAAAGTAAGCGGGCATGCAACGTCCCACATCACAAATGCTACTTTTAGTTAGTGAATCTACCATGAATCAAATCTAGATAAGAAAGCAAATACAATCACAACTGCTTTTAGAAACAGTGGATGGAATAGACAAAGCTTTATTTAGTAAAAGCCGGAATCAAGCTTTGTGTGTTTGTCTGTTTGGCTGACAGTATCCTACAGTTCCACATCCCAATAAAAATGTTATCTGGCAGCAGCAGGCTGGCTCCTGTGCGTTCCTGTTAAGACGCTTTCTGTAATGGGTTACGGCTACAGCGTTAGACGCTTCTCTCCACTGCTTCAGAGCTATTTCACTGAATGAACTCCATATAAAGCTCTCTATTCAGGCACAAATTCCTTCCAAAAAGAAACAATCCTGGTGCATCCCCAGCTGGAAAGAGACAGCAAAAAATGAATGCGAAAAACCCTCCCAGAACCAAGGCTGTTGAAATCAGGCATTAAAAAGAACCCGGAAAAGCTGAAATGGATGATGCAATACCAACCCGTCAAGACACTGACACCAGAAAAGGAATGTTTCAGAAAACAAATACTTCTGGAGAGATTTTGTTAAACAAACTCATCTCCGGCTTATTGAAAATGTAATGCGAATGAATAATTCCCAAAGCTTGTGGCACTTCAAGTGTCATTAACATTTCATAATGCTAACAGTTCAATATTCCATCTAATTGCTGCCTCCAAAACCTAATATCATTTGACAGACATATATTGTTTCTTAACGCAATGGATCCCAATGCTGGGACCAGGCTTTAGAAACCTGGCCAGTTTGATCTTTTTAGGGAATAAAGTCAATGCAGCAATCTGAAATAAGATTACAAGGGGTTTTCCCAGACACTGTGGTTCAATAACATCTAAGCCCATTCAGAAATACACATACCTCAGAAACCCAAGGAACCATGGCTCTCAGAGGGCCATCGACTTATTGGTGTCTCAAAATGCTGAATTTAAAGAGCACAGCCTTGTCTGTGATTATAATCAAACTACCTCCAGTTGATCGATCAGTGGATGATAAACCAATCACTGAGCTCTTCAGAAGAACAAGGAAGCATTAACTCAGACACTAATGAGATGGATCTACAGAAGAAGATTGAGGACCTATCAATCCACCTTCCACTGCAGGACATCTGGGGTTACAAGACTGATATGTGAGTTTATGGATGAAGAGAAGAGATATTGTACATGGCTACACGATTTTGACACTGAAGACTGTTGGGGAATGGACTGGAGAGGCAGAGCTCTATCGAATGAGTCGATGGAACACGCAACGACAGGATTTTATTAAGAGAGCAACTTTGAGCCCCAAGGCTCGTTCTGAATCACAGGGAAGGGATTTCTTAACTCAACTTTGACGTGGCAGGAATCCAGCTGGTTTTACAGGCCCTCTGGGGTTCGGAGCAGAGAGCCGGTAGAGTCTGTCAAAATGTGGGTCGTATTCATTTATATAAGCTTGGTTCTACGCAGTTAAAAGCCAATGAGGGTGATTATGTGCTGTTACGTACGATTATTAGTCGTGCTAAAGGCTCTTTCACAAGACTCGCTTCAGGGCTCACCCGTCGCTTTGACCTCCACATGAAGAGGTTTGCGGATGGCATGATGGAAGGGTGGCTTTATGAGGTTTCTAGGTAGTGAGGAAACTTTGAGTTTGGAACCGAACTAAAGGTTTTTAGTGATTTATTTGATACAATGAAAAAGCAACAGATGTTTAGGTAAAGGTACGTTAACATTTATCACTGTTTTTTCATCACATTTTTGCACCTGAAATTCAATCATTTCGATAGGAATTTACACTCTGGAATTTCATGAAAAATGTATCCATGCAGGTTTCGCAACGGGTGGTTGGAATCGCCAATTGTGTGTTTTGGTCTGCAAATTGTCTTTTACTAACATGACCACACCTTAATGCTGCGATTCTTTTAAATTTAGCCAGTAAGCAACCACCTATAGCACATTAGAAACCACCTACTGTAGCAACAACCTGACAACCACAAAGGCTAAAAACAACAGGCAAAAACACATTAGCAACAGCATAGCAACACCTTGGAAACCACCTACAACACCCTAGCATTCTGCGAAAGTCAACCCAATTATTTCGATTGAAAAGAGTGGCTGATACGATAAGCCGCTAATTATTTGCATGTTTTGGCTGATAACCTATAAATGGAGAATATTAAAATTGTATACCATTTTGTCTCATTAAAATAAAAACAACAATAAATAAATTGTTTTATATGCTACAAGAGAATTTAGGCACCACAACATTGTACAGTATGAAAAATGGATATTCATTTTGAGATTTGCTAAAGATTACATTTAATTATTAAATTATTAGTATTTTTAAAGATTAACTTCAAGTGACCATTAAAAGACCATTCACAATTAAACAGTGACCATTCATAACTAAACAGCCATTATCACCCAATATATTAAAAAACTTCTAATAATGGCGATAACCGATATGGTACTAACATATTGTGCAACGTGTATGAATAACTACTACTACGCTGTGGATATAAAATGTTATACTGTTTTATCTAAATAAAATATAAAAAAATCTACACTATATCTACAGTAATCTACAATATGAAAAATATACATTTTGAGATTTGCTAAAAATTACACATTATAATTAAGTTATTATTATTAAATAATATTTTTTAAGACTATCTTTAAGCAAGGGCTGGTCAAATATGATCTAGATGTAAAAATAAGGGAAATGATCAAGGGGTACTAAGCAGATAATATCGGCCAATATATCTAAAAAATTCTAATATCGGCCATAAACCGATATGACACCAACATATTGTGCATTGCATATGAATAACTATTACTATACTGTAATTATTAATATTTTATACTGTTTTTGCCAAAATAAATAAATAAATAAATGCTACAGGTAAAATTAGGCATCGCAACATTGTACAAAAATGGATATACATTTTGAGTTTTCTAAAGACTACATTTAACAAAGTTATTAAATTATTAGTATGTTTAAAGGCTAACTTTAAATGAACATTAAATGATGTAAAAATAAGGAAAATAAGCATGCATAACTATAGAGCCAATATCACCTAATATATTTTCAAAATCTAATATCGGCCAATAACCGATATGGTACATATTGTGTAACAACTATTACTATATTGTAGATATTTTAAACCTAACTTGCTGCAACAGTCTACTTTCAGACCATGAGTATAAAGTCTTGGCATTTATCTTGCATTCATTCAGTCCTGAACAAAACTTTAAATCCAACCGTGACCTTTGTGAGACTTACCTGGCATGATCACATCAGGGAAGCCCAGTTTGCGTGTGATGGCCACGCCGCGGTTGAATATGATGGGGTTTTCCCTGCGCACCTGCTCCATGTCGCCCCTCAACAGCTGCAGTGAGATGATTAGACCTGCACGACAAGACGAGTTTGGGGGAAATGTGAGACAACTTCATCATGACAACCACTGTAATTATCCTCGTGATTACGTTAGCATTTATTTAGTAAAATGGGCCTTTGTTTCGAAGAACGTACCAGAGAGATTGTGTTTCTGTTACAATTTTATTCAGGTCTTTATGCTGGCTGCCAGTAACTGCCACAATTAAATTCAATCAAGATATTGTTTTGGGTCTACAATGCCGCTAATGACCTGGCTCCGCATTACCTTCAATTCCTCATTAAATCGTACACACCGGCCCGCCTGCTGCAATCAGTCATTCTGATTGCCTGGCTCCCGTCAGTTCCCAGTGGGAAGGGTTTCTGTTCATCCGGGTCCAGAAATTTGTCTAGGCCTTCCCCTCGATGGTGGAATAAACTCTCAATTAGAACAGTTAACATACCAATTACTACTGAACGATACCTCAAAACACACCTCTACCATATTCTTTTCCACTAGAACTTAAACTGGCATTACTTTGCTTGTTGATGCAGCTCATTTTGAGTGTTTTAGGAATCTGATCTAGCTTTTCAATATTACTTTGGACTCTTTCATCATTTCCCAGACATTCGACATAAAGCTGCTTGGTTTGAAAGTGACTACTGTCAATCACTACACTATTGGCAATAGACCGTTTTTGTCTGCAAATTTCCTCCGAAATTTCACTAATGTGACCACACCTTAACACTACAGACCAGTAAGCAACCACCTATAGCACCACCTACAGTAGCAACAACCTAGCAACCACATAGCAACAGGCTAAAAACACACTGGTAACAGCATAGTAACACCCTGGAAACCACCCACAACACCTCAGCATTCTGTGAAAATCAACTCAATTATTTTGATTGAAAAGATCGACGATATTTAAATTCTGGCCGATACGATAAGCCGATAATTATTTTCATGTTATGGCTGATAAACAATAAATGGCCAAAATTTAAATTTTATACAATTTTGTGTAATTAAAATAAAAATATTTTCAAATTTTCTAATTGTCTAAAATATATTCAATATTACATTGGACTCCTTCATCATTTCCCACACGTTTTACGAAAGCTTGTTTCCGCCACAGGATAAAAAATATAATAAAAAGGTAATTGCAGTTTTTTTCTTGCAATATAAACTTGCAATTCTGAGAAAAAAAGTCACAATTCTGAGAAAAGTCCAAATTGTGAGATATAAACTATAAAATCAGAAATATGAAGAAAAAAAAAGAAACTTGATAAAAAAAAATTTATTCCACGACGGCAAAAAATTAAAATAAAAAACTATGAGATGTAAACTAAGAATTAAGAGAATCAATGACCAAATTGTGAGATAAAAACTTAGAATTCTTAGGGAAAAAAACTCAAATTGTGAGATATAAACTGAGAATTGTGAGGAAACAATGTCAGAACTGTAAGATGTTAATTAACTTACAATTCCAAGTAAGTCACAATTGTGAAAAAAGTCGCAATTTTTATCCTGTTATGGCAAAAAAAAAAAAAATTGCGAGATGTAAACTAAGAATTAAGAGAAACAAAGACCAAATTGTGAGATAAAAACTTAGAATTCTTAGGGAAAAAAACTCAAATTGTGAGATAAAGTTGCAATTAAAGTCACAATTGAAGTTGCAATTTTATTTTATTTTTTATTCCATGGCAAAAAAGGACTTCTATAGAGGTTATGTTTGGTTTTTGAGGCTAAAGCTTTGCATGTGACTTGTATTCTTAGTTCCCTTTCAGTAGGTCACTCTCGACGTCACGTCGGATGACCGACGAATTGGGATCTCGCTTAGAGAGACCAATCTACTTCGAGTGTAAACTAAACGAGCCAATGCACATTGGCATGCGATTATTGCATCCAGCTGCCGCTGATCACAGCATGAGTATAAGTAGGCAGCAGATGCAGCGCATATTCAGCTTTTCGATTCGGAGCCGAGCGGTTCTATCGTTCTGCTCCTGACCTTCTGCAGAGAGTAAAAACTACAGCAAGCACGCTCTTCGTGGGCTCCCGTGCTGGTGGTACGGAGCTTCAGCGGCGGTGGTTTCCCGTGTCGAGTGGGTTGCACACATCAGGCTGCACTACCCCCTGTGTGTGTTGCAGACTGCCATCTCCCCTGTGCGCTTCAGCACACTAAAAGAGCAATTTCCATTCTAAAAGAGCTTCACGGGTGGAACGTCTTTTTAAAAACGCGTCTTTTTAAAGATGTCGTACCATCCGTGTGTTTCTGGGTGCGGTCGTTACCTGGCACCGGGTGATGGTCACGATCGCTGCCTCTCGTGCCTGGGCGTGAAGCACGCTGAGGCCGCTTTCGTGGATTTCTCATGCTCCCAGTGCGGGG